TCTTCTCGCCATCCGCAGGACAGGGACGCTGCCGAAGAGGCCGAGCAGAGGAGCGGAGAGCGGTGCCATGCCAGCCGGGGATGGGGGGCTGCCCGGCCCCGCAGGGGTGCAGCTCCCGGGGGGCGAGGCGGATCGGGCGCAGAACGTCTGGCAGTGGATGCTGGAGAGCGAGAGGCAAAATAAGCACAAGCCCCATAGGTAAATACGCAGCTGTCTACAGCAATATTGCTCCCGGTAAATATTTATATATTACACGGGCTGTCTATTTTTACAATCGCTAAAAACAAATGAGACTCTTTGCTCCTCCGGTTTAATATAAAAGCTGTTCCGCAGAACCAGAAAAACCACAAAAATGTCATGTTTTTGGCAATAAACCTCCTTTCATGTTATGACAGACTTTTGAGAGGGAGCGAGCAGAATAGGAGCTGCTATTAAAGTCATATTTTCCAGCTTTTCTAACCCGACTTCTTCCCCTCCCCAAGCACACAAAGCACAAAGAAGGCCTACAGCTCCGACTTCGCCAAGGGGGCCCCCGGCCGCCACCACCCCTGGGGGACCGGCAGCCACCCGCGCGGGGCGCAGCCCGCCCACCCCTTCGTCCAGGACCCCGCCATGCCCCCGCTCACCCCGCCCAACACCCTGGCACAGCTGGAGGAAGCGTGCCGCCGCCTCGCCGAGGTCTCCAAGCCACAGAAGCAACGGTAACGGCCGCGGGAGGGATGGTCCTGGGCCCTCCGTGGGGTTTGGGGAGCAGGAGGGGTAGGAGAGAAGTTTGCTGGGTGCAGGGTTGGCTCATCTTCAGCCACGGTGGTGGGTGAACGTGGACGGTGTCCTCCCCGTCTACGTAGAGGGTCAGCCACGGGGCCGGACCGTGGGGACGCGTGACGGCGCGTCTTGGCCAAGCCCCAAGGATGAGCCTCCTTATTCCAACCCCACCCTACGCTGGTGCAAATAGTTTGAGTCCTAGACTATTACTTCCACTCTTTTGATGGCTGTAATTTGCCCATTTTTCCTCTGGGACGGGCTCCAGCTACATACCAAGTGGAGAATTGGGCTGGTTATCGTTCATGTGGGTATGGGAGGATAAATGAGCCCACAGCATTCTTAATTCTTCCTTTGATTGTTTACAACATGTGAGGGTTGATACAAAGAGCGAACTTAACGACCCACAGGAGACTTCAATTAAGAAGATTGTATTTCGACAATGTTTTTAAGAAGTCTTTTTTTTTTTTTCTCCTTCTTCTTCTCCTTCTTCCTCTTCCTCCCCTTCCCCTCTTGCCCTCCCCCTCTCCCCTTCAGATGTTCAACCTCAAATCAGCCGAGGGATCGAAACCACTCCGCTGCCGTTCCGGGGGGGAACAGCCCTTTCTGCAGTGCAAGTCTAACGACAGAAGAGTGAGTATCGCGCGCGCAGGAACGGGTTGGGAAATGGATCTGTAATGCTTATATTTTCCTTAAATGGATTGCGCTTTGAAAAGAGGAAATTCTTCCATCTGAATTTTCGTCTTTCAAGCGTTCTTCTTAAAGAACGAACAAAACATTTTCAAATCTTGTCTCTGGCTCTTTTTAACGTGCATTCCTGTAAAGTGGACAAAGATTGGATTAGTCTAATTACAGGATGGTTCTTTTAACAAGAAATCTGCTACAGAGAGGTCTAAAATGGCCTAAATAATTAAAGTTTTCTTTCTTACCCTCTTCATCTTAAGCAATGAGTAATGTTTGAAGTCCAGACTGAGCCACCTGACTAGAGCCTTTCATTTTTAATTGGTTGACCTTAAGTCCACCAGCTGTCTTTGCTAGCAGCTTTTTTTCTGAAGCCACTCTACAAAGACTTAGAACAAATTAGGAAGACTAAATTACTGCGGACTAACACTTTGTGACCTTTTGACATGCCAAGTGTACGTTGCCTCAGAAGTGGGCGCAGATTTGGCTGCACGGCATTCACTACACCGTTGCTATTTTGCTGGGTAATATTGTTTTAATTATTCTTTAAGACGGCTTCCTTGGTGCAGATGACAAAACCCAGTTAATTTTATCCTCACCGGGAAAACTAACATTACCTGTGTACTTCAGGTGAAGAATCTGGTGGTGGTTTTGCTTTGTTAGCTGTTGGTGGGTGCAGGTGGTTTCGTGCAGGAGAAAGCAGCTTGGCAGATGTTTTGTATGAAGATGGGTGTAACGAGCCTTTTAAAATCAGCAGGGTACAGTACTGGGGCTCGCTGGGTACAGGTTAGCCCATGGCGAGCCCTACGCACGCTCATCCGACCTGTGGTCCTGCTCTGATGCTTCCAGCAAACATCTGACCTCCATCCCTCAGTTCTCCCATCCGTAAAATGGGATGAGGGGTCTCCCCATGGCTGGGTCTTTTGCGACACCGCGATTCCCACCCTGGCAGCGTGCGGGGGCAGCCCAGTGAAGGGCTGTGCACGCGGCGAGCACGGGAATATCCGACTTTTTGGATCACGCCCGGCGTGTTTCGTGTGGCAGAAGCGCCGCTGGGTTGAGCGCGGCGAAAGGGCTTGTCCTTGAATGGAAAAATAGAGGGTTTTGTGTGTGTTTTCTGTTTTTCAGTCACAAAGAGCCAAAGAAACTGCCAGTTGTTCACACCTCTCAGTCGAGCGAGTTGGTTGTCACCTATTTTTTTTGCGGAGAAGAAATTCCCTACAGGAGGATGTTAAGGGCCCAGAGCCTTACCCTTGGGCACTTTAAAGAACAGCTGAGCAAAAAGGGAAATTACAGGTAAGAATCTGTGATTTGTTTGTTCTTTTTGTATATTTTAAGAAGTCAAAAGAATCAGCAGACATTTTGCAGGTCTACCTGCAGTGACACATTTACCTCGGGTTTTTTTTTCTGAGGCTGTAGATCTTCTTACTCTTTTCCTACTCGAACCAAGAGCAACTTAGGGATGGAGAAAGGAGCCCTGAGCTGCAGCTTGGCTGCGGGGCCACCACCTCTCCATCCCTCCCCTTGCCCAGGGATGCAGCCTGGCAGGCTCTGCATCCCAACCCTTGTCCAGAAAGCTTAGATACCAGGAAAAACTGGGATGGCCTTGTGGTGAAGGCATGGAGCGATGGGGTTCAGTTCCCAATTTGGGGGGGGTGGAGGGAAGGTCAGCATTCGTCTTGGTGCTGGCTTCCTGCTTTGCCTACTCCTTTAAGTTTTTGATTTTTTTAATCGTGTTTTTTTTTTCAATGGTGTGGCCATAAATGCGGTCAGGGAAAGGTTGGGATGTTGTATCTTAGTGGATGTTGTAGCTGAGAGGTGGGGAGCTCGTTTTTCTCTTTGTTAGGGGAAAAAAATCCTCTGCCCTGCAGGGAAAGCTCTGCCAGCGATACCACATTTCTCCTCAGGGTCACCACCAAACCCTGCCTGTCTGGTTTCCAGGGCTCAGCTCCCAGTTTAACCAGTTTGCTGCTTCCCCTGTTCTAGTTCCCATGGCAGTAGCTTCATGTTGGCTGTTTTTTGCTGTGCTTTCCCAGTGGACATGGGCACTAGTGGGATTGTCTGTTGGCCCCTTCTCCTGCACGGTGAGCAGGAGGGGAATGGTCCAGCTTCAAGTTTTGAATTTGCCCTGAATTTGGTGCTTCTTCAAAGAGCCAGAAGGTTTGCCCTGGAACTCGCAGCCTCTGCTTTGACCTCAAAATGGGTCATTTGGGTTTGGTATGAGGACTTTCCAGCCGATGTTCCATCACTGGCCTATCTCTAGCTTTGGGAAGTCCACCTGTGCAGACCAGAGGTAGGTCACCCATGGGTGCTCTCAGGCTGGGGGATGCTGAGCTGGGCTCTGGCTGTGGCAGTTGCACTGTGGGGCTGAATTAATGCCAATTCGTCCCCTAAAACCATCTTTGCAGCCTGGGCAGCCACCATCAGATGGCAGCAACCTGCACGTACACCCAACCTGGACAACCTCCAGGAGAGGTCCCTGACCTTTTTGCACCCTTGTGTCATTTTCCAGCCCCTAAAGCCTCTCCTGCCCACCACACCTCTCCTTGGGCTGATGCAGCTTCATGCCCCAATTGCAGACCAGTTTCCCTCCCCTCATCGCTGGTCTGTCACTGCTCCAGTCCCACCGCCCCCTAAAAAATTCCTTTTTTTTGTTTGTTTGTTTGTTTTCTATGACGTTTTTGTGTGATGCCCAAGCGCAGGACTTGGCTCCTAAAACCTCTGTGGCCCGAAAGTCCCTCCAGGTGCAATTATTTGTGCCTTGTCAGCCCGTAATTACTCTAGAAAATGTTTTTAAGTGACTGACAAGGATGAAACAACGTTTTGCTTAGATCTCACCCCTTTACACCTGGGTAAAGACAATACAGAAATTTAGAAAAGGAACTTGGGTACGTGCCCAGTATTTTATCTTGCACAGACACAAGGTGAAACTAATTACACAAATGTGTGTACCTCCGGGGAATCATTTTGATCTAAGCTTTGACTTTTGGCTGGACTTTGAGTGAAACTGCGGGTGACCTTCAGGGAAGAGGTCCGTAGTGCCCGGAGTAGCGTGTGTGTTACGGGGAGGCACTAACTAGGCTGCTTTGGTCACATCTGGCATTGATTTCTTTTTAAGGCACATTTAATAAGCATGGCTTTGAAGCCGTTGCCTTTCATTTAATGCACAAAGACACGCAGAAACGCTCCGCTCTCCAAATTCTTTATTGATTGGATCAGTTTGCGAGGTGGGTACCTCGGGCTCCCGCGATGCTGGAGCTGCGCGGCCG